AACTTATCGATAGTTGTTGCAATTCTTTTTGATTATAGACAAGACTGCAAGGGTCTTTTATGCAACTTGACCAAGACCTTATCTAACTAGACCACAATAGGGTTGATCTGCTATCATCTGACGATGGCTTTGTTCTCTTCAATTTGTCTCTTAATGTCGACTTTGGGTTTAAAGGCTTCAGGGAGCAGATTAATTTATTTATTTGAAGGCAGCACAAATGTCGAAAATATTTGTGGTGTACTGATTCAGCTTGAGTGTTGATCTTACATATTTTGAGTTTGAGATTTAAAAATGTGTTTTTCATTTTTTTTTTTTGGAATCATTTTTCGTTTTATTTTAGACAACCCAAAGTGTTGAGGTAAAATGCATTCTTAGGTGTATATCTATATATTCATTTGTACATTTTTTTTTTTATATCAACCTAAGCCTTCACTCGTATACTGTTAGGTGTGTAAGGCGTTCATCCAGCGTCTAACAAACGTTTAAGCCATTTTAGAATACTATAAATATGCATTTTCCACTGTTGCGTTGCTCACGAGATGTTGGAGTTATCAAACTTACCTTTTCCATAGAGGGTTTCTCAGATTCTGTTGACGAAAACTTAATGTTCCTTTTGGATCAGATGGAGAATTATGAGATCTCGGAAGAGGTAATTAAGGGTGTCGATTCCCTATGTGTTGTGGGCAATCTAAAAAAATCAAGAATGCAATATTGTATGCGAATAAACAAGAGGCATTACTTWAGTTGATTCAAAGAGCAATACCACAGTGAATAATCAACTGGTCTTAACTGAAAACAGGGATGGTTTGATTAAAATTGGCAGCCTTCCTTCCAATCAAGTGTAATGTTAACTCAAATTGGCAGAAAGCGAGGTTGCATAGTGGCAGAGCTTGGATGGCTCAAATACATGATGGAAATGTCATTTTTCATGCTCGGAAAGCTTTCATTGGTTCTTTGAATCAAATTATTCCAGAGTTTCAATATATCTTATGGGCACTTCAAATCCTACAAGATCTTCATATCTCACATTTGAGGTGCATAAGATTGTGTCCAGTATTGGAAGCTCCCTCAAAACCCTTCGACTTGTCCGAGATGTCAGGTGCTAATAGAGCAGATTTTTCAACTGAGCAAGGGATTTGAAAGTTGTGCCTTTAAAGTAGAAGCTCCAAACTCAAATTCAGCGAGTCGGTACATATCGAAAAGTGTATTAAGGGACGATAGGTTTCAATCCTACTCGCCGTTAGGTGGTCCAGCTTGGTTGGCCGAATGCATTGCCCGAGATATTCACTATAGCATCCATAATCCTTTGTTTAGGTGTATGATGTTTGATTGTTGCCTTTTGATTTGTTTGGGGCTTTTGTTTTTCCTTTACTTTTCTTTAACGTCTGGTTT